TTAAAATGTCATACTCTCCCATCTTCTTATCACTATCTCTTAAGTGTACATACATTTTACTTCTTAACCTACCCTTCTCTAAAATGTTTCTTAAGGTTTGTAGTTCCTAGACTTTATAAAATCCTAATCCTCATATAATCCGAAGCCTCATGAATTAAGGGATGCATTAGGAATGTTGGTCTAATGCCAACTGTAATAACCCATACCCCTAACTCTCTGTTTGGATGACTTTCAGGATAGTTCATTAATATATAATGTTATATAGTAATGGCAGAGTATAGTAATGGTAAAGTTATACCATGTTTGGGAAGATTGTGTATTAATGTATGATAATACCAACTATTTTTATTTAGATTGATAGGATTGTATAGCTCTATATTTAATCAAATTACCTATTTTGTCCATATTTTATTGTATGTAATAATAAATTTTAAAAAATATGACTTTATATGCAGAAAGAGATATAGAGGCGCCAAAAATATATATATAGATATATGTGTGTATATATAATTAAATAAATAAAATAAAAAAGAAAATCAAGTGGCAATATTACACACATATATATATGTATATATATAATTAAATAAAAGAAATTAAAGAAAAAAAGAAAATTATTTTTGTATATTGTATATTCATATTAGTCCTATTATTTTTGTATATTTATATTATCCTTATATTTTTTTATACATTTCCATTATACAAATAATTTTTATATATGAACTATTATTTTCATAATTTTTTTATATTTCTATTATTTTTGTATATTCCTATTATACATTATTATTAATTTCAATCAACATCATCTTTTTAATATGTACCTAATTAATTTTTTTAAAAAAAATACATTATCCCATAAATATAAGAACTTTAAAAATATAACATATGATAAACTTCTTCAATTACAAATTCAATATAGATTAATCACTCTAAATAATAAATTAGTCCATTAAAATAATAAAATTCATCTACTTCACTAATTATATATTAATTATGATAAACACCAATTGAACACATAAAGAAGCAACATACATATAATTTTTCCAACTTCCTTAAATTCATACTAGAGTCTTGCACTTCGGCAACAACAGCCCCGGTTTCAATATCTGAAAATGTAAAGAAATTATAAAATCAAAGACTACAAATTAAAAAAAATTTATCTTTGAACTTGAGAGTTAATATAAGTCATTACCTGGTGAATGAAACAAATTACCGTTTAGGAGGGCAATTCTTGAAAGGAATAGCCATGTTTGGTTTGCCCATAAGAACTATATAAGCTTGTGTTTCTTGATCCGCCTCGAAACCCAAACGACCAACCTCTTCATATAACTAGCTTGCTAGAATAGGAACATGTGTGTTTGTTGCCATTTCCTTGAGTGCAGTTGCAACCATTCCAATTTGTTGAGACATATAATCATCCTCTAAGATACCCGGCAAATGTTTCGATTTCTTCAACCTGGAAGAACTTGGAGCTTTATATTAAAGTTGTGAAGTAGGTGTTTTAGGCATTGAAGCATCATTCAAAGAATCCACACCATCAAAACTGAAATTACCACCTTAATTTTAGGAAACCATACAGTCAATCTCCTCAATGCTCATTGCATTTTCATTAACATTCCTCTACCTCTGCCTTTGATTAGTACATATCGTCTCACAACCAGCCCCATCAGTTCTATCCTTTCTATACATTTTCAACGTTTTGTCGTAATTCTGCACTCGTTTGTTCTTTAGTTCAACTGCTTCAGAGTGAGTCTACGATGAATTAATATGTTAATATTGAAACTGTATAAAAATATTACAAATAACATGTGATAGACTTGGCGATTTACCTCTATTAGTTGCTGTCACACCTCATCTTCTGCTTTAAATTTTTCAGTTACTAGATGTCAGGCAAAACCACTCAACCTATTTTTGAAAATGTCATACCTTTTGGAAAATTATTTTTTAAATTTTTGATGTGCTTGTGGATTTGCTCTTCATCAACTCGCGTGTTTGGAAATGCATTCCTCATTTCTGTCACAATACAATCAATGGCTTGTGTAGTGAATGTCCCACCAGATTTACGACCCAACAAATGTTGACTGTAAAATGTATCTACTAAGGTATCATCCATAGAATCTGTCCAATGGACAGTGTTACTCCCTCAATCTGCAAATTTGTTCCTCTTCGTCATTTTCTAAGACACTACAACATAACACCAACAAATATAATCATTTTTTAAAAAACAATAGGCAACGAAATATAATATGATTACAACAAACTAAATTTCAAATTATAGTATTCAATTAAAACATTAATGTTACACATGTTATAAACCACACAAATATCATAAACAACACAAATTCATAGGCAACACAATTAGTCCACAAATAATCAACATTATAAGCAACCCACATATCAATTGCTACGTTATCTCTAATAGCTTCTCCTCTTCTTGTTTCCTCATTACTATCCCTAGGATTATATGGACTTCGTTCCTTAAGAGAATGTTTAGAAGTTCTTCATC